GTTAAAAAAAAAAAAATTAAAAAAAAAAAGAAATCTGTTGTTTCTAATACAGTAATAACAAACTATCAAAAAGAAATTAAGAAAATAATACCATTCACAACTACATCAAACAGAATACTTAGGAATAAATTTTACCAAGTAGGTGAAAGACCTGTAGTCTGAAAACTGTAAGACACTGATAAAAGAAACCAAAAATGGCACAGATAAATGGAAAGATATACTATGCTCATGGACTGGAAGGATCGTTAAAATGCACATACTACGAAAAGCAATCCACAGATTCAATGCAATCCCTACCAAAATACCAATGGTATTTTTCATAGAGCTGGAACAAATAATCCTAAAACATGTATAGAGCCACAAAACACCCCAATAGCCAAAGCAATCTTGAGAGAGAACAAAGCTAGAAGTATCATTCTCCCTGGTTTCAAACTATACTACAAAATGACAGTAATCAAAACAGTATGGTAATGACAAAAAACAGAAACACAAAGGAACCAAATAGTCCAGAAATAAACCCACAGTCAATTAATTTTCAACAAATGAGGCAAGAACATCCAAATGGGAAAAAGACAGTCTTATCAATAAATTGTGCTGGGAAAACTGGACAAGTACATGGAAAAGAATGAAAATGGACCACTTTCTTACACCATATACAAAAATAAACTCAAAATAGATCAAAGGCCTAAATGTAAGATCAGAAACCATAAAACTACTCGAAGGAAACAGGCTGTTAGCCCTTGGACATTGGCCTAAGCAGTATTTTTTTCATTTGTCTCCTCAGGCAAGGACAACAAAAACAAACAAATGGGACTACATCAAACTAAAAAGCTTTTGCACAGTGAAGGAGACCATCAACAAAACAAAAAGCCTACTGAATGGGAGGAGATATTTACAAATGATATAATCAGTAAGGATTAACATCCAAAATATATAAAGAACTCACACAACACAGTATCAAAAAACAACCCAATTAAAAAATGAGGAGAGAATATGAACATTTCTCCAAAGAAGATATGCAGATGGGGGCACCTGGCTGGCTCAGTGGATGATGCGACTCTTGATCTCAGTCAGGGTTCTAAGTTCGAGCCCCACGCTGGATGTGGAGCCTACTTAAAAGAAAAAAAATTTTGTTTAATTAAAAAAAAAAAAAGAAGATATGCAGATGGCTAATAGACACATGAAAAGATGCTCAACATCACTAATCATCAGGGAAACGCAAGTCAAAACCACAATGAGATATCACTTCACACAGATCAGAATGGCTACTATCAAAAAGACAACAGGGCACCTGGGTGGCTCAGTTGGCTGAGCATCTGACTATTGCTCAGGTCATGATCCCAGGGTCATATGATCGAGCTCCCACATCAGGCTCCGTGCGAAGCATGGAGCCTGCTTAAGACATTCTTTCTCTCTCTCTCTAACTAAAAAAAAAAAAAAAAAAAAGACAAGAAATAACAAGTGTTGGCAGGGATGTGGAGAAAAAAGAATCCTCCTGCACTGTTGGGAATGCAAAAAGGTGCAGCCACTACGGAAAATAGTATGAAGTTTCCTCAAAAAACTTAAAAGCAAAACTACCATAAGATCCAGTAGTTCCACTTCTGGAAATCTATCTGAAAAAAGCAAAAACACTAATTCAAAAAGATATACACACCCCATGATCATTGCAGCATTATATACAGTCAAGATATGGAATTAACCCAAGTGGCCACTGACAGATGAATGGAAAAAGATATGGCATATACATACAATGGAATATCACTCAGTCATAAAAAAGAACAAAATCTTGTCACTTGCTACAACATAGATGGAGCAAGAGGGTATTCTGCTAAGTGAAAACAGTCAGGTAAAGATAAATACCATACAATTTCACTTATCTATGGAATCTAAAAAACAAAGCAAACAGACAAAACAGAACAGAAACAGACTCATGGAAACAAAGAACTATGTGATGGTTGCCAGAGGGGGTGGGCAAAATAGGGGAAGGAGATTAAAAGTACAAACTTCCACTTATAAAATAAACAAGACATGGGGATACAATGTATAGCATAGGGAATACAGTTAATAATAGGTAACAATTTTGTGATGGTGGCAGATAGTAGCTAGATTTAGATGGTGATCACTTAATAATTCTATCCTTCATAAAATTTACATTTACTGAGAACCTACTTTATGTTAAAGCACTAAGCTAGCTGAGTAAAAATATATGTAAGACTGAAAACATCAGAATTTTCTAAACCAAGTTGAGTAACCTGAATAAAAAACTTAACACTATGCTTTAATTTCCTTATCTATTAAAAAAAAAAAGGACAGCATTGTTTGCTCTGCATATTTCACTTACATATAAAGATTAATTAAAAATATAGGTAAAAGCATTTTATAAACTATGAAGTATAATATAGAGACTACATACAGCAATTAAAAAAAAAAAACAAAACATGCATACCTTCTGAGTGAGGTATGGATTTTCCCAAGGTTGATGGTCTACTGTACTACAATAGGGAAAAATTTCAACCAGTGCAATGTACAGTAATACTTACAACGTATAGTATACAGCGGTATATCACTCTCCCAGAAGGAAATTCTGTATTTTAGCCACAGGGATATATACACTACTCTCATGATTTGAATCATACCATAATTAATTAAGAATTAAATTTTGTCTAATGAACTTTCATAGTTTATTTCAGGCAATGTATTTGCTATCCCCTGGTCTTATGCATAGAATCTAGTATGAAAGAAATCTCTTCAATTTACATTCTATTCCAACCAGGTTTGTACACAGAAGGTCTGTCTGACTGGCACTGATAAGTAAACAATCTAGGAAGTTATTAAATATTCACATAATCGGAAGGTCTATCATTTTACTGCACAAATTACTGCTATAAAATATTTCATTAAGAAAGTAATTCTATTGCTTACACAAAATTTATTACAAATAGGCCCAAAACGTTGCTTGTCTAAATTTCAATTATAAAAGTAATTCTATCCCTCATACAGAATTTATTACAAATAGGCCCAAAAACTTGCTTGTCTAAATTTATTACAAATAGGCCCAAAAGGATGCTTGTCTAAATTTCAATTATAAAAGTAATTCTATCCCTTATTTATTACAAATAGGCCCCCGAAATAAATAGAATTTATTACAAATAGGCCCCCGAAAATTGCTTGTCTAAAAAAAAAATAAAAGTCATGGGGTACTTGCAGATATATTTAATAGTAACATAATAAAGATCAAGTTTAAGTACAGGAAAATGTATATACATTTATATAAGCACCTTCCAGGAAGCAGTTTGGCAATTTCTGCCCAACGATTTCCCAGCCGCTTATGTGCTTCATAGATGATCCTGTCCTCCTCTTCTGTCCAGGAAGATTTCTTTACCTCAGGATTCAGATGATTATGCCATCTTTCTCTACACTGCTTGCCTATTCTTCCTTTCAAATGTTTTGCAATTAAAGACCATCTTTTTGGCCCATATTTCTGAACTAATTCAATAACCTAAGAAACAGAAAAAACAAAGTTTAAAAAAGCAATACCTTTTTAAAAGTTTATTCATGGGGATGCAATGTACAGCACAGTGACTATAGTTAACACCGTAATGCAGGGGCGCCTGGGTGGCTAGGGGGTTAAGCATCTGACTTCAGCTTAGGTCATGATCTCACAGTTCGTGAGTTCAAGCCCCACATCAGGCTCTTCACTGACAGCTCAGAGCCTGGAGCCTGCTTTGGATTCTGTGTCTCCCTTTCCCTCTGTCCCTCCCCTGCTCATGCTATGTGTCTCTCTCAAAAATAAATAAACATTAAAAAAAAAAGTAAAAATAAATAAAAACTATACTGTAATGCACATCTGAAAGTTATTAGATCTTAAAAATTCTCATCACAAGAAAAAAAATTTTTTAACTATATATGATGACAGATGCTAACTAGAATCCTTGTTGTGATTATTTAGCAATACAAACCAAGAGCAAATCATTATGTGGTACACTTGAAACTACTATAGTGTTACATGTCAATTTAACATGACACAGTGAGAATACATCTCAATTTGAAAAAAGCATTACCTTGATAGAATTTTAAAACATAACTCAAGAATACTATTTCTTTTAAATGCATTAAATCCAAACCACAACTACTAATTGTTAAGTTTATTTAAGTTACTAATAAGTTAACTAATAAATACTAATTCAGCATTGGCCAAGTACAAAAGTTTACCTCAAACTTATCTAAAATACAATGTGCTAATTAAAGTGACTTGTAGGGGCGCCTGGGTGGCGCAGTCGGTTAAGCGTCCGACTTCAGCCAGATCACGATCTCGCGCTCCGTGAGTTCGAGCCCCGCGTCGGGCTCTGGGCTGATGGCTCAGAGCCTGGAGCCTGTTTCTGATTCTGTGTCTCCCTCTCTCTCTGCCCCTCCCCCGTTCATGCTCTGTCTCTCTCTGTCCCAAAAAAATAAATAAACGTTAAAAAAAAAAATTAAAAAAAAAATAAAATAAAAAAAAAATAAAGTGACTTGTAAGTTAAAATGTTATCACTGAAAATCAATTTAACGGTAAAAATGTTGAGACTTATAGATTTTCTACTCTTTCTTTAAAAAAAGCTTCAGTTGGAGGCCAAATAAATCAGTTTGGAAGCAAGAAGGATCTACAAAGTTATTGTCTTCTCATTTATTCCTTTCTCATACTAAAAGGATACAGAACACACATTATAAAACCTATCACTGACCATCAAGTAAATCTTACCAGTTCTGAGCCTAGTAAACTTTTTTTTTCCCTTGAGTGGCAGGAAAAAATGCTCTAATTCCTCAACCCTATTAACAACATTTCTGCCATAAAGAGCATGAACTAAAGCCAATTCCTAGTGGAGGGCAGCAACTTTCCCATTCTTCTCAGTCTTTTATAAAACAAACAATTACCTTAATATCGAAATCACCAAACCTTTTAGAAATACAGTGCTCTGGTATCTATCTTATTTTGGGGCACATTATAGGTCAAGAGGGAAAGTTAAGAATGACTTCCTCACATATCATGTTATCAGATAAAATTAAAATCAAATTAAATTGTTTTTTAAAATGTTAACTCAATTTTCAACAAGCTATACCCTAAATGTTACTCACCTAAGCTCTAAATAAGATAAATAAGCTAATAACATTTTTCCTTCTGTAAACTAAACTCACAAAGAAAAGCTATATATATTATACTTGGTTTGACTCAATTCAGAAAAACTATATTTCAAGACATTCAACTTTCAATTCTTCTACAAGCAGCAACCAAATCAAAGTGATTTAAACATAACCTTTGTGACAAAACAATACATTAGGAAGAAAAAAAAAGCCAATCCACCTACACAGTGAGAATAAAATATATGAACATGTTACCCTCTGATCTTCTTCTTTAGTCCAGGGACCCTTTATCAATTCTGGATTTAAAACTTTCTGCCATCGATGCTGGCACTGAAAATCTGAACGATTCTGAAAGAATTGATAATTTTGTTATTGAACAATTGTCTTCCAGCCTAAACTCAAGAAGAAAGTCTTCAAGAATAATGCATTCAATAACATTCTTTAAACTGTAATATTTATCTCATATGCCTGTGTCTCAATTCATTTTTAAATTAAAGTCTCTGGCAGGGCTTAGACTATATATTTTTAAGTATATATCTCTACACTGTGCCTTATAACACAGATACTGCCATGGAGAAATGTATCTGAGCACTTGGGTGGCTCAGTCGGTTAAGTGTCTGACTTCAGCTCAGGTCATGATATCACAGTTTGTGGGTTTGAGCCCCATGTAGGGCTCTGTGCTGACAGCTCAGAGCCTGGAGCTTGCTTTGGATTCTGTGTCTCCCTCTCTCTGCCCCTTCCCCATCTGCATTCTGTCTCTCTCTCTCAAAAATAAATAAACATTAAAAAAAATGTATCTAAGATTGAGAAATAAAAGAGAGTAAACAGAAAACTATACAAAATAGACAAATGAACTCAAATAGCACAGTAGTCTGGATTCATACAGTACAGCAGTACTTAACTTTATACAATTTAAAAACCCCCAAAGGCATTACTAGGCCACTGCATGGTACTTAAAGGATTTTTATACATGATGACCTCCAAGTTATCAAGAAAAAACGAGAGGCGCCTGGGTTATTCAGTCGGTGGGGCATCTGACTTCGGCTCAGGTCATGATCTTGCAGACCATGAGTTCAAGCCCCACATCGAGTTCTGTGCTGACAGCTCAGAGCCTGGAGCCTGTTTCGGATTCTGTGTCTCCCTTTCTCTGCCCCTCCCTGCTCACACTGTGTGTGTGTGTCTCTCTCTCTCTCAAAAATAAACATTAACTCCTATGTATAATAAATAATAATAATAATAATAAAACAGTTAACTTCATGAATGACAAAAATATTAGAAGTATATAAAGGGATAAATACAAATACTTTGTTTACCAGTCACTGCCTTTGTGTCTAGTGGGTCTCAAGTTATTTTTATTTAAACTGAGTTTCTTCATTTATGGCTTCAAAACATCAATGCTGATCCATTTTTAAGGCTATCGTTTTCTTCAAAATAATCAGACTGCTCCTGTATGTGCTTGTAGCATTTCTTTGTTCACTTCATTTGCTGCTATACCCTCAAGTTAAACTGGTAAACCTAATATAAATAACTTTTCTAATTTAGTTTCCATTTATCTAACACCTGCTAAATGTCAGGAAATACGCCCAACATCCTATATGTCATTTCTAATTCTCACAACAATACTACAAAAACGAGTACTATTATTTACATATTATAGACAAGGAAGCTGAACATCAAAGAAGTTAGTAATTTTTCCAAGAGCAAACAGCTAGTAGAGCTGGCACTTGAATATAGATCAGACTGACTCCAAAACTTATGTACTTTCCATTATCTGGTCTCAATTTTCAGGTTATGTTGAAAAGCATCATAACAATTTAGAAAGAACATAGGTAATCTGATTTCTGATATCCACAGTAGTCAAAACAAATTCAAATGTGACTATTTTGCCTCCCTACCTTTAATGTAGTAAGGAACAAAAGGAATATATGTAAATTATAAATTTATAAATTTTGTAAATTATAAACTTACATACTAATGAATAGCATGTGAATAGTATGTAAATTATAAAATTACATACATATGTATGTATGTAATATAAAATTACATATATACATACTAATGAATAGCATGTGAATAGTATGATGAACGAACAATAAGTAGAATTCTTTTAAAGATCAATAACACCTTAAAATCCAAATACAGGTTGACAAACTTTCAACAGAGCTTTTTCTGATTTTATTGATTAGGTGCCAAAAGATTTCCATACATTTAACTTCTCTCAGAATGTTTTAACATTTATCAGCAAATATTTATAAAGCCCTACCCAAACCTAGTATTTTCATTTTAGATTAGTAATCTTTTTAGGCCCCTATATAAACTAATTACTAGAAAAATCGGACTTTTTAAGCCTTTGGCCACTATAGGAAGATCAGAAAAACAGAGATGTTTTTAGAAAGGAAACCTAAGTCTAAAATAATGAAGACACATTTTTGAAAAACAGCAAATTTAACCCAATAGCTTATGTTATCCATGTTATAAATAGAAGAAAATATTTCACTCACTTGAAGATGACTAGCAATTAGAGTCCAATCATCAGTTCCGTGTTGTTCAACCAACTTCTTTAACTTATCATCCTATTAAAACAGGTGTGAAAATTAGAAAGCTTTCTTTCCTTTGCCTATTCCTCTATCGCTAAATATAGATAACTGTCTAATTCTTTCATGTCATATCTGATGACCATTAGTAGAAGGATAAGCCACTGTAATACAAGCTCTCGCATTTACTACAGTGTTTCTGTCAGTCTTAACATCATACCACTATTCACACCTCTGGTGGAAGAAAAATATGTGCCTAACAGTTGATGAATAGCTTTTCTCATGTTTTGCTTTTCAAGATCTTTAATTCCTTTATTAAATATTATTAACCAATAAGTACAACCTTATCATGTAATTACCTCATCTCTTGTCCATTTTACTCTGTTCCAGAGTTTCTTCAATCCTTTTTGTTGTGGTACTTCATAATCATGATCAGCATACTGGAGGTCATCATCCTCATCCTCACTAAAACAACAACAACAACAACAAAAAAAAAAACACAATTGTTGGGGCGCCTGGGTGGCTCAGTCGGTTGAGCATTTGACTCTTGATTTCGGCTCAGGTCATGATCTCATGGTTCATGAAATAAAGCCCCTTGTTGGGATCCACACTGACAGCATGGAGCCTGCTTGGGATTCTCTCTCTCCCTCTCTCTCCACTCTGTGTGTGTGTCTCTCTCTCTAAATAAATATATAAACTTAAAAAAAAATTGTGAAATCAAGAATTTTATGCAACTTTGTAAATTCAATCATTGAATCTGTGTATACAGGTATGACTGAAGAAGCCACCCAGACTAAAAACATACGTCCCAACAGATTCAAGATATAACAAAGTAAGAGTTATACAATGTAGAGTAGCTATAGTTCTCACTGACACCAGGAGTTGATATGCCATCAGGGGTCAATTGTAGACAAGGAAAGAGTTTATGTCATGCTAAGGAGTTTGACTTTCATTCTTTATTTGACCCTTTATCCTAAAGGGTCAAAGGACTTTAAGTAAGGGAGTAAAACACAAATATCTCATGTTTCAGAAAAATCACTGGCAGGATGTAGAGAAATGGAGGAAGACCAATTAGTAATTTTTGATAATAATCCAAGTAAAAAATCATTAGGGCCTGACACTGGTAAGGGTAAAATACAAAACACAGTCACATCCAGTTAAAAGAAACAATGGAAGAAATGATCCATTAACGTTACAATAACAACAAAAAAATTAAAACATGTAGAAATAATATGAATATACAAGATCAAAATATAGTAAACAACAAAACACTATTGTAATACACATTAGATCTGAACAAATGGAAAAAACATTCAGACCACATTCCTGGATAGGAACAGAATTACAGATGTCCATTCTCCCTAAAATAATTCATAAATTTAAATTAAATTAAAATACCATTATATTCTCAGAGGAATTTAAACATGCTGATTCTATAGTTCATATGGAAAAGTAAACAAATAGCACTACCCAGTGAAGACATACTGTAGAGAAACAATAAATAAAACAGAATACTACCGGCACACAGATACACAGATCAATGGAAGAGACTAGAACATTCAGAAAAAAACAAAATCCAAATGGGAATTCGGTAAATTTTAACAGTAACATATCAAATCAGTGGTGTGAAGATGGATTTTTCAATAAATGGTAAGGCAGAGGGTAACAAATTTTAAAAACAAACTTTGAGGGGCGCCTGGGTGGCTCAGTTGGTTGAGCATCCGACTTCGGCTCAGGTCATGATCTCATGGTTCGTGAGTTCAAACTCTGCATCAGGCTCTGTGCTGACAGCTTGGAGCCTGCAGCCTGCTTCGGATTCTGTGTCTCCCTCTCTCTCTGACCCTTCCCGGCTCATGCTCTGTCTCT